CACTGCTGCCCCCAGGGCTACACCTGCGACCCCGAGGGGGGCAGCTGCCTGCAGGGGGGTGGCACCCGCCGGCCCTGGCTGCGCAAGACCCCGGCACTGCCCCGGGGGGGACAGGTGACACAGGTGACATCGGGGAATGTCAAATGTGATGAGGAGACGAGCTGTCCTGACGGGAGCACCTGCTGCCAGCTGAGCCTGGGCACCTGGGGGTGCTGCCCTCTTGAGCAGGTGTGGGGGAGTCCCTGGGGTTCGGGGTCCTGGGGGTTCGGGGACCTCGGGTGTGGGGTGGGGTGTTGTCCCAGGAAATGAGGATTTGGGAATGGAATGGAGGAGGGTTGGGACAGAGTGTGACTGTGGGGATGGCCCTTTGGGGACAAGCAGGGCTGGGGGGCAGGGACATGGGACACTCCCACTTTTGTCACTGGTACCCTCCATGGAGGCTCTGTGGGCACCTTGGGGACAGGGTTTGGCACAGTCCTTGGGTCTCTGCTGGGGACACCTGGGGACCTGGGTCCTTGCTGTCCCTGGAACCCGGAGCCCTATGTCCCCCAGACACCCGTGTCCCCCACTGACCCCATCCTGTGTCCCCCCCAGGCCGTTTGCTGCGGGGACCACAAGCACTGCTGTCCCCGGGGCTACACCTGCAACGTGGCCACCGAGAGCTGTGAGAAGCTGCTGGCACCCACCCCGCTCCTGCCAACCCCCTCAGCCCCCCGCCAGGCTCCCTCAGCCCCCCGCCGGGCACCCCCCGCCCCACTGCAAGCCGCTGGCATCCACCCGGGTGGCCTCGTGCCCTGCGGTGCCACTGGCTCCTGCCACGTAGGCCAGCGGTGCTGCCAGGCCCGGGGAGGCTCCTGGGGGTGCTGTCCCTTTGCCCAGGTGAGTGGGGGGACACCAGAGTGGGGTGGGGGTGGCATCACCCCCCGCTCACTCAGTCTCTCTCTGCAGGGCTCCTGCTGCTCCGATGGCCGCCACTGCTGCCCCGCGGGGTCCCGCTGCACCGGGGGGGGCTGGGGGTGCAGTCCCCAGCGCTGGGACCTGCTCTGATGGCACTGGGGACACCCCCACCACCACCACGCCCCGAGTGCCACCACCCCAATAAACGGTTTCTAGGAGAAACTCCACCCATGGTTCCTGGTGGGGGGGAAACTGAGGCAGGAGGCGGAGGCAGGGGGGATTTTGTATGTTTAATATATTAATGCCTCTAAGGAGCAGACAGGACGTGTGGGCAGGTGCAGGCAGCAGCTCCCTGCCCAGCCTGGCACCTGGGGGGTTCCCCATGGCCCCCCCTCTGCCAGCCTGGCCCCAATGACCCCTCTTCATCCTCACCACGTAGAAAACATTTAGAAACACAAGTTAAAATCCAAAGGGGGATGAGGGTGGGGGGACAGGGGCCCCCTGGCTCCTATGGCAGCTTGGAGGCACCGCTGGCTCGGGGGGCAGTGCCAGCCCCCCCTGTCCTGCAGGGACACAAAAGGGGACATGGCTCAGGACCGGGGAACATGGAGCATGCAGTTCCCACCACCAGGAGACAGGGAGGCGGGTGGTGGTCTTGGGGTGGGACACGGAGGGAACAGGGGCAGCAGGATCCCGGTGTGGCTGAGCCTGGTGGCACAGGGTGGCGGTCCCGAGCAGATGGGGACAGGGGTCGCCTGGGTGTGGTCAATCTGGTCCCTCCCCTGGCAGGATACTGGGAGGGGCTGGACAAGGAACAGGGGACGGAATGGATGAGGAGTGGGAGAGCTGGTGGGAAAGGGACGGTGGTGCTGGAATGGGATTACGGTGGGGTGGGACAGTGATGGGACACGATGGGGGCAGGAGAGGATGGTGGTGGGCTAGGACAGTAGTGGCAGAGGACAGTGACAAGGCAGAATGGTAGGGAAGGTGGTGGGATGGCTTGGCAGGATGGGACAGTGACAGGAAGGACGGGTGGTGGGACAGTGGGATGGGGGATGACAGCAGTGGGAGGAGATGATGGCTGTGTGGGGTTGTGGTGGATGGGACTGATGGGGCAGGATGAAGGATGGGATGGTGGTGGGGTGAGACAGCAGTGGCAAAGCACAGCGATGGGACAGCGATGACAGAAGACGGTGGTGGGAGATGGTGGCCGGGCAGGACAGTGCTGGGCTGAGACGGGTGACGGCAGCGGTGTCCCCAGCCTCTCGGCAGCCCTCGGGACTCGCCCTCCACCCCCGGACCAGGGGCCCGCGCTCCCCACACTCACTTGACATTGAAGACCATCAGAGGCCGCTCCTCCCGCTTCTGCCAGGGGCTCTTGCGGTCGCCCCCGTCGTCGCCTCCGTCGCCCGCCTCGGCCAGCGCCTCCTCCTCGGGGCTGGTCAGGGAGTCTCGGGGGGCTTCGCTGGCGCTGCTGCGGCCGCTGCCCCCGCCTCGCCGCCCCCCGCTGCCCGCTTCCAGCAGCGGGGCGAGCGAGCTGTCCTCGGGGGAGGCTGCGGGCAGGGGGGGCCGGGGCCCCCCGTCCTCCTCCCCGCCTCCGGCGGCCCGGGGCAGGCGGGGAGGGGGCGCGGGGCCGGGGCCCCTCTCGCTGCCCTGCAGGTCGATGTAGGAATGCCGAACCTGGGAGGAGCGCCCGTCCAGGGACACGAACCAGGCTCTCGGGGGTGGCGGCCCCCCCAGTTCCAGGAGCTGCTGTCCCGCCAGCGCCTGCAGCTCCCCGTTGAGCTGCGCCACCGCCGACCCGTCCAGCAGCACCGGGATGGCCACCGAGCCGCTCACCGGCTGGGGGGCACGAGCCCCGCCCCAGTTTTCCCCTTCCTCGAAGGGCTGCCCGGAGGAGGGGGGGGCCGGGGGCGCGGCCGTCGCCGCCGTCGAACCGGGGCCCCCGTCGGCTTCGGGGGGACCCTCGGGCTCGCCGGGAGCCAGGCGCATGTAGCGGGCGGGGATGAGGAGGGTGGGCATCACCCCCCGGTAAACATCCTCGGGGCCCCCGGCCCGGTCCAGGGGCCCGCAGAGCAGCAGGGGCCCGGGGGGGGCCAGCGAGGGCGGGCGCGGGGGGGGCTCCGGCAGCGGCAGCTCGGGGGGCTGCGGCCCGTAGCGGGGGAAGGAGGGCGAGGGGGGCCGCGGGGCGAAGGCGGCGGTGCCCCGGGGGTGCTCGTCGGGCGGCTGCAGCCCGTCCACCGAGCGGGCGGCCCGCAGGCCGAAGGCTTCGCCGGGGCGCCCGTAGTCCTCGTGGGCGGGGGGCTGGCGGCGGCGGGGGCCCAGCGTGGCCGCCGGGGGCCGGAGGCCGGCGCGGAGCGGGGCGGGGGCCGGCGGCTGGAAGAAGTCCGGCCGGGCGGGGGTCAGCTCGCGGGTCGAGGGGGGCAGGCTGGGGGTGGGCAGGTCGGTGTCCCCCCCCGAGGAGGCGGTCTCCAGGTGGCTGCCCCCGCACAGGAGGTCCAGCTGGGACACCGAGGTGGCCTGGTCCCGACGCGCCGCGTCCAGCGGCCCCGGCAGCGGCAGCTTGCGGTGCTGCGCCCGCGGCTTCAGGCACCGCCGCCTGCGGGGAGACACGGGCTCGTGGGGGCGGCGGTCCCCCTGCTAACCCCCGTCGCCCCATGGAAGGAGCCAGAGGAGGGGGCTGTAGGGCACCCAGGGGTGCTGGGGAGTGATGTGTCACCCCCCACATCCAGTTAGAGGGCACCCAGGGGTGCTGGGGAGTGATGTGTCACCCCCCACATCCAGTTAGAGGGCACCCAGGGGTGCTGGGGAGTGGTGTGTCACCCCCCACATCCAGTTAGAGTGATGTCCCCCCTCCCAGGCCAGCTGTAGGACACCCAGTGGTTCTGGAGATCAGTGTCTGGCTCCCAAATCCAACTAAAGAGCACCCAGAGGCACCACAGGCTGGTACCTTCTCCCCATAGCCAACTATTGGGCATTTGGGGGTTCCAAGGGGTGGTGACTCCCCCAAAGTACCTACAGGGCCCTCAAGGGTGCCAGGAGGGTGGTGCCCCTTCCCCATAGTCAGGTCTAGGGCACTTGGAGGTGCCATGGGGTACCCATGCCCCCCTTCCCAAAGCCAGCTATACAACACCCAGGGGTACCAGGAGGATGCTGCCCCCTCCCCATAACCAGCTATAGGGTGACAGAAAATGGTCCCCCCCAGCTATGGGGCACCCAGGGCTTACAGGTGGGTGCTGACCCCCATTCCCACACAGAATGTCGGGTTCTGTTCCCACCCCCCATGGCCAGGACGCAGCTGGTGCTGACCTGCAGTAGTAAATGAGGAGGCAGAGGAGGATGAGGACGAGCAGGGCCAGGGCACCCAGGATGGTGAGGAGGAAGATGGTGTGGTAGGTGGTGATGTCTGTCACACCCGCTGCCATCGCCACCAGCCCTGGGGACAGCAGGGTCAGAGGGAGAGCCCCCCTAAGAGTATCCTGGGGGTCTGCCCTGGCACAGGGGGGCAAAGGGAACCCCCACCAGAGCACCCCAGGGGGCTGCAATGTCCCCTCAGCCCAGACAGCCCTGGGGACGGTGGGATTGTGAGGAGCCCCCACCCCACCAGGGGCACCCCAGGGTGGTCCCAGCCCCTCAGGCAGCCCTGGGACAGGGCAGTCAGAGAGGGAAGCACCCCAAAGTGCTGCCACTGCCTCCCCAGAGCCAAGGGACACAGGCTGGGAGGGCACTCACAGGTGTCACCTCACCTGTGCTGGGGGAGGGCAGAGCTGCTGCCCAATATCCCAGCTGGGAGGAGACGAAGGTCCAGTACAGCTGCCGGCCTTCCTTCCGGATCAGCCCCGTCCCGTTCCGCACCCACAGCCCTGCGGGGACACACTGGGCTGAGACCCCTCCCCTCATCACCCCCCACCACCCCCAGCAGGAGCTGTGTCCCCCTCTGCCACCCCATGTCTCCCTCTGCCACCCCCAGCAAGGAGCTGTGACCCCCTTTGCCACCCCATGTCCCCCTGTGCCACCTCCAGCAGGAGCTGTGTGTCCCTCTGCCACCCTGTGTCCCCCTCTGCCACCCCCAGCAGGAGCTGTGTCCCCCTCTGCCAGTCCCAGTAGGAGCTGTCCCTCTCTGCCACCCCGTGTCCCTCTCTGCCACCCCGTGTCCCCCTCTGCCACCCCGTGTTCCCCTCTGCCACCCCCAGCCAGCACTCACCGCTCTTGGGGTCAAACCTCCAGGCTGGCACACTGGTGGCCACCACGGCCGCGGCGTCGGGGGCCAAAGGGACGGACAGATGGACGGGGCCGGCCAGCGGCACCTCGGTCCCGTTGCCGGTGAAGAGGTGGACGCTGACAGCCGCCACCGGCGCCAGCTCCAGCCACGTGCCATTGGCTGCGGGGACAAGGACAGGACATCCCTAAGGGGGCCACAGCGGGTGTGTCCCCCACTGCCCCGTCCCCGGTGTCCCCCGTACCGCTGCCGTCCTGCTCGGCCCCGAGGAAGGCGGGGAAGGCGCGGGCCAGGCTGGGCCCGGAGGCGGCGGTGAGGGACGCGGCGAGCTGGCTGTACGTGGAGCTGCGGGGCAGGCGGGCTGCCCGCCGGGGGAACTGCGCCCACGGCTGCCCGCGGCCACCTGCGGGGACACGGCGGGTGTCATCCACCGCCAGCCCCGCGGTTCCGCCGGGGGGCACAGGGGGAGTGGCAGCACCCGGGGGGCCCGGCGGTGTCACCCAGGGCCATCCCCGTGTCCCACCTGGGGATCCCAGGAGGATCTGGACCAGGTCCTCGTAGAGGATGAGCGTGGCCGGGCGCTCCGGGAGCAGGTAGAGGCTGATGGAGGCGTAGACTGGAAGGGGAAGAGGGGTGATGGGGGATCCCAAAATACCCACACCTGGACCCCAAAAATACACACACACTCCTCCGGGCTTGGGGGGACTGATAGGGAGAGGGGGGGAGATGGGGTCTGCAAAGGGGGTGGGGAACGGGGACGCAGCAAGGGATGAGGTGCATTTGGGGAC